CGGAGGCCCTCCGGGACCCCGAGCCCGGGGGACACTACCAGTTCCGCATCATCGTGCTGGGGGACGCGGCCGTGGGGAAGTCGTCGCTGCTGCACTGCTTCGCGGAGGGTCCGGGCGGGGGGGCGGCCACCCCCTGCCCCACCGTCGGCGTGGAGTTTTACAGCCGCACCGTCCTGCTGCCGCCCGCCGGCAAGGCCAAGCTGCAGCTCTGGGACACGGCCGGCCAGGAGAGGTTCAGGTGAGGAGGGGATGGGGGGACACGAGCCCCCCTGCGGGACCCCAGCACCCAGCTGACTCGTCCCCCCCACCCTGGGGTGGGTGTAAAGTCCCACATGCGGGGACGGGCAGCGGTGGCTCGCTGGGACGGTGACGCTTTAGGGGCTGTTGCAACCTTGTGCTGAGCTTGCAGCGAAGCCGGAGCTGGTTTTTGGGGGGGGTGGCCAAGGGAGCAGGGCTGGGTGCGGGTCCCGGGGTGCCGGTGGGCTGGGGCAGGGTGATTTCCTTCCTGATTGCGTCAGGCTGGAGCCAGGAGCTCCTGGGAGCGTGAAAGAGGCTCAAATGGGGTGCGACGGGCTGAAGAGCTGGGTGCTGCGGCTGGAGCAAGGGGTCCCGCGCTACCCCCACCCCTGGGAGCCTTTTGGGGGCCCCAGGGTGGGTCTGGGGGTGCCCTGTTTCTGCCCAGTGCTCAGGCCCATCAGCACCCGCCCACGGGTGCTGCCCCATCCTCGCTGCACCCTGGGCTGTGGGGGGGATGGAGGGACCCCCGGAGCCCCTGCAAAACCCCCGAGGTCTCCTCTGGAGCCCCCCAGTCTGGGGGGGACATGCTGAACAGAAAATTGGGGTGCAGATGGTCCAGGCAAGCCTCCCCTTCCTGCTCCCGAGGTCCCAGCTGGGACCCAAAAATCTCCCGAGCCCCGTCCCAGGGAATTGGGTGCAGGGGCTGGCGGGCACCGGGGGGCCCCCCCCACCCCCCCCGCCCCCCCCCCCAGCGGCCCCCACCGCCAGCAGCCGCCGCTCCTGCCCAGAAAAACGGCGCGCCCACCCTCCCCACCGCCCCTGCACCCGGACAGGCGCACCACAC